AGACTATGGAAGAGAGTTTTGGAATAGGCAGGACTTTCCATCCTCACTCCCAGCAGGGACCTGGGCATTGGGCTTCCCCAACTGATTACCTTCCGATGCCCTTTTCAATCTTGTCTTCCTTGCAGAGGGAAGTTGTGGGTTATAGAGCTAATTGACCACATGATTAAAGCATCCTCCAGACTGTGGATTCAATATTTCTTTCTGCATCTTCTGTGTGAGTGTTTCCTGAGCTGAGTTCTATTTTATTGCATATGCTCACCACATGTTACCTTCAAGACCCCGGCCTCAGGCAAAATTCCTATGAAGATGCTGACAGTGATAAAGGCTTGGGCTCAACCAGGGCAGCCCTTGTTCCTGGTGACAAAGTGCTCTGAGCACGGGCAGGCTGATGATTCCTGGAAACTTCTCTGTAGCACAGGACTGCAGGCCCTCAGGGTAATAAGTAGAAGCATAGGGAAGACAACTACAAAGATGCATGGAAGTAGCAAAGACACCTTTCCCAGGGACCCTTATGGCTTGGAATTCTGGTCCTTCAGAGAGTTTCTAGCATAAACCTTCAGTTAAAGAGACAGATGACACATTCCATTGGCTGGCACTTATCAGCAGCTCGGGGGAAGAATATCAGAGGAAACTGTCAGAAAATGACAGTGTCATGGTTCAGTCACTGGCTGAATGAAAAATACACAGTGGTGAACCAACCAGGCCTGAACTTAGCCTTCCTGTCTTCCTTTACCTTCTACCTCTGCTGCTCCTAGATGAATGAAACCAAAGCCAGAGCTGAGAGCAGACAGAAAGAGGCTCTGGGAATGCTGTTTTGGGAGTCCTCCGGGCCAACCTGGGAAGGGGTGCGTGAGCCTTGGAAGCTCTTGCACCTCAGCAAGGATGCTGCAAACTTTTTGTAGCTACCCAGGAATTTGCTGTAATTCAAGCTGCCCAGACAATCACAGGGCCTTAGAAGAGGGAGCTCTAGCTCCTCTTCTCTCTCTTTATCTACCTTTTCTTACAAAATAAGGAAGATCATAGAAACTTCTGGCTCTTTGAGATTTGCAGGGTGTATCAGAAATAGCAGCCTTGCTTTGACCACAGGTGAAGCCCGGGCCAAGAACCTGATTTTCCCCTTCCCAGCTGAGTGGCATTAATCAAGCACATTCCCATCTCTGAGGTTCTATTTCCTGAAATACCAGACAGGGGTAACTACCCTTACTGTGCAGAGCCCTTGCCTGGATTACAGATAATGCTTATATGGCTCCTCAGACATAGCTGCTAACACGAGAAATGCTTCGTCATTGGTGGCCATTTGAACAGTTATTTATTTTTGTCTCATATTGCCTTCTTTTATTTCCTCTCTATATTATCTATTGTGTGTAATACAGAGGAGAATCTATAGCAAATAAAGCATCCTCCACGTTCTCTCCTTATTGATTTAAGTCCACAGTCGCCTCAATTTATAACACTTTATAGCTTCTACTAATCCTGGCTACCAGCAGTATCTCCCTCCAATAACCTAAGGGAATCATACTATACATTGTTTTAATTAAACAAAACTTAATTGTCTTTGACCCCCTTCTGCATTTTTCAGATTACCAAAGGGAAAATAAGATACATGTTGATGACAAGTGGGTACTCAATCCCACAGTATTCTTGGGAATATAAATTGGTATAAACTTGATATGTTGCAGAAGTCAATATGGCAAAAGCCTTAAAAATATGTACACTCTTTGCCCTGGCAATGGCACCTCAAGGAATTTATCCTAAGGATATAATCAGCTTTGTTCTCAAAGATCTATGTGGAAAAAATGTTCTTGCAGCATCTGTATTGGAAAAAGGGAGAGAGAGAGAGAACTAAATGTCCAAAATAGATGTGTTAATTTTATATACCCATTGTGGTATGTCCATATATGGAAGACTCTGTTGTTAATAAACATTATGATATAGAGTCATATTTACTAATATGGAAAGATATATATACCGTGCGTGTGTGTGTGTGTGACAAATAAGGTAATAAAACAGTATCACTGGGGTCTCTGGCTTCCGCAGGTAAGGGAGAGACTTGCTCACCTCTTCCATATAGCAGGTAGGAAGGAGGAGATGGATTCTACTCACCTCCCCTTCTTTCTGTGGTCTTCCCCATGGGAATGGGGTTGCCTAAATAATTAGAAAGATGAGGAAAACAACTTTTCAAGTGTGTGCCTATTAATGACTGAATGTTAAAGTCCCTCCAAACTTTATATGTCACAAACTTAACCCTCAATATGATGATATTAGGAGGTGGGCCTCTGGGAGGTGATTAGATCATGAGGGTGGAACCCTCATGAATGGGATTAGTGCCCTTCTGAAAGGGACTCCAAGAAGGTCTTTCACTCTCTTTCTGGCATGTGAGGATATAACAAAAAGTGAGTTGTCTGTGACCTGAAGAGGCCCTTCACCAGAATCCACCCATCCTGGCACACTGATCATGGACTTCCAGCCTCTGGAACCATGAAGCATAAATTTCTGTCTTTTTATAAGCCTGTCAATCTGTCTTATTTTGTTATAGCAGTTCAACAAATGTAGTACGCTAGACCCTGGCTCTGGAATTCACGTGCCTACAATGGTGTGCACTGTTGTCTCTGCCCCTGTTTCTGTGAGGTTAGCCCAACTGAGTCAGTGCTTGTCCCTGCACTGAGGGGTGTGAGGTTGGGGCCACATCTCTATGGGGCTATCTGTCTGTAGTCCCACCCCCCACACAAGCAGTGCCTGGTCTACACCATGTTCTGCAAGCCAGCCCACCAAAAAAATGTAGACACAGTCTGCACATACCCATTGTCTTCCTTCATCTACCTCATTTGATTCATAAGCCATGGGGGAAAAGGGGATTAATGAGTATTCTCAACCCTAACATATAGACAGTATGTTTTCACTGTGTTTTTGTGAATGTGCACAAAATGGGGATGTACACAAAATATCTGGAGTGATGCACAACTAAATCCAACAGTCGAGTCTCTGGGTGGTGAGATTATCTGCATGCAGGAGTTATAATTATTATAATTATTCTATTTACACCATTAAAATAGAAATAAAGTAATCCTTTGAGCTTGTTTCTCATTGCAGTGCAAATTTGGACCTTCCTGCTGGGATGGAAGCTGTGGAGGAGGAAAGAAATAAGACCCCAGTGTTTGTTGAACACCTAATGAGTACTAGGCACATTAAAAAGAGTGTAGAGTACATTTTTCCTGCAGTCCTCACATCAGCCTTATTAATTGAGGATTTTCATGTAAATCGCTCAGGTGCTGAAATTGCTAGTGGAAATTTAGCAACTTGCACGAGTTTCTATAAGTAGTAAGAGGCAAAGTTACTCTAGTATGGTCTGCCCCAAATCCATGCCCACCCACTTGAGTATACTCAGGGAATTCATCACAGCTAATTTAAAAAAAAAGAAAGAAAGAAAAACATGTACAAAGGCAATAGTATTACCAAATTGATGTCACATAATACATAGACTAAAGGAAATCCATGGTCCAAATGAACAGAATCCCATTTTTCCTAAAATTCCATCAAACCCGATCCTTAGAAAACTAGAAGCAACACAATGAAAAGAGAGTAGGTTAGTTTTCCAGACACAGGTACTCTGAATAGTGCCGAGAGTGACAGGTGCAGGCTTGACAGCCAAGACAGAGAGAAATACGAACAAGTATACACACTGAGCCTCTCAAGCAGCACCATCTAAGAACTCCGGGAGGAACGCCGGGAGGAGGGACAGCAACCAGTGCCTCAGATCTAATCAGCCCTGTGAGCATGGCTGAATCCAAGGAGAGTACAATAATTGATTTTCATAATGATGATCCTGAGTCATCAAGAAAAGGTTACATTTTATGTTTAGAACTCTCTGTTTAAGAAGGCAGGGAAGCATGTAATCCATTTGAAAAAGATTTTCATTTCAAATAGTTAAAAATTCTTTGAAAACATTTTTGGTGCTTAAAGGGATAAGTGACAGTTATCTGGAAAATTCACTTATGTGGAACAAAGTCTTTCCTAAAGATTCTAGATCAGTGAGGCGGCGTGTTATATTTAGTTAGGCTTCTATCACTTCTTTGTTGACATTCCACTGTCTAATCTTCTCAAGCCTTTCAAAATTCCTAACCTCCAAGCATGGGATTGTAAATTTCTTGAGGCGACAGATTGTGACACCATTCTTGGATATTCCACACCCTTATGATTCTCAGCTTGTGTGTGTGTGTGTTTGTGCATGTGTGTGTGTGTGTGCACATGCCATGATACAAATGATGAAGATATTCACAAAAATGACGGACTCCCAGGGCATCCTTGAACTTTGACAAAACCCTCTGGATATTCTGCAAAAACCCTTTTCTGTTGTGGTAAGCAGTCATCGAAGTTTTTTTGTTTGTCTTTTTTTTTTTTCTAAAAGCAAACTTTATTTCTAAAAAGAATCATTTCCATTGGGGCCTGCACTTTCCAGGCAACATTAATACTGAAAACACACAAGGCTGTCTCTGCCTGCCCTGTTGGCCCCTTTGCCTGATACCACTTCCCTCTGCATTTCTTGCCCTGGACATAACTCATTTTTCTTTGGTGAATATGCCAAGATCCTTCATGCTTTCTCATATTCTGGGAAATGTTCCCTTTCCCAGAAACCTCCCTTCCCACCTCCACACCGTCTATGTCTAGTTCAGTGCTCTCTCCTAGTGCTATTAATCTCACGAAACTTCTCATTCTCTCAAGTACTGAAGGATGTGTATTGTCACAATTTTCTTTTTGAAGATGAGGATGGAATCTTGAGAGGCTACAATGAGAGGCTTCCTTTAGGTCACATCTGGGAATCAGAGCCAGGATGAGTACATCCCCAGTCTTCTCCTGACTTCCTTTCTTTCCACTGCACAGTGAACAACCATCACTGCAGCTCCATTGTGGGAAAACACCCCTTTCCTTGACATTCCATGTTTTCCAGACCTATCTGTGGTTACCCTGTGCGACTCATGCAGAGGAGTGGGGGCGAGCCTTACCTGGAGTGTTGAGCAGGCGGGACCTTCTGCAATGGTAGGCTACCTCCTGCTCACAGTGCTCTGAACCATCAATCATGGCTTCCAGCTGTTCCATGCTGCCACCATAATCCAAGGCCATGGTATAGGGCTTCTCAGGGTCCGCACCCTGCACACGGGTCAGCTCTGTGTTATTGTGCTGAACTGATGTCCAAATCTTGTCCTCTGTTCAGAAAACATAACCCAAAGAAGGAGACATTAGAAGGACGGTCAAAAGAGGATCATACTTATATAACTCAATAAAGCTGGGGGTGGGGGGATGGGGAAGAGGATCACCCAAGCAATGTGATGCTTGGCTCAACATGGGGCAATCAATCCACCTGAGTGCTCCACTCATGCAAATAAAAATGACCAGAAAATTTCTCTTTCTCATAGAGTTCCTCCCAGAGTTAGTGTGGGAGTTAATAATCATAGGAACTAAATTTGTGGAGCCCTTTATGCTAAGTATTTAATGTCCATCAACTCATTTTAAACTGGCATAACCTAAATTGGAAGGAAGTTAGAAATGAAGGTGGGGGGAATCAGAGGGAGAGATGAACCATGAGAAACTATGGACTCTGAGAAACAAACTGAGGGTTTTAGAGGGGAGGGGTTGGGGTGATGGGTTAGCCTGGTGATGGGTATTAAGGAGGGCACATATTGCATGGAGCACTGGTGTTATATGCAAACAATGAATCATGGAACGCTACATCAAAAACTAATGATGTAATGTATGGTGAGTAACATAACATAAGAAAATTAAATGAAAATAAAAAAGAAATTAAGGAAAAGTGAATGAGCAGGACTGAGCATCTTACCCATGTGCAAGTGACCAAGCAAGAATAGGAACACAGGGTGTCTGACTGCAAAGTCCAGGCTTCTAGCTACTGAGAACACACTCCCCCACAAGACAAATACTAGCGTAGATAACTATCTCAGAAACACAAGTATCACATTGAATGTTTGCTGTACACAGATCTCCATGTAGAAAGTACCTATAAAATACACCTAATTAACAACGATAAGATTGTATGATCCACACCATATATACAAGGCACTTAACTGAAGTTCCTTTTTTTTTAATTCTCTATACTTCCTCTATTTGCCAAAAAATTATTTTAAGAGGTTTACAATAAAATAATATGCAGAGATGAGGGCCTTCACATTAGGTTTGGAGGACACATTTTACCTACCACAGGTAAGAATGGAAGGTGAGAAGAGAGGAGAGAAATTTTCTAGGGCTCAGTTTTATTATCAGAAAAAAAAAAAAAATACAGCAATCCCAGCAGCAGGGCTGTTTCTATGGAATAGCAACCAAACATATGAAGTTGCACGGCACTATCTGAGATCTATCAGACATTCTGTACTAATAACCTAGACTAAAACATTTACAATTAGACATTGAATTTCATTCTGAACATGCTCACAAATAAAGCAAAGAAGGAAATAGGAAGACTCAAAAAGCTTTTGTCATCTGAGAATCTTGCCCACATATTAGCATCATTACTCTTCACAGATTCTCAGAGCTAAAAAATAACTTGACATAGCTATCATGTGGTTTCCCTCCTACTTCACCCTCCTAGTTTTTATAAAGGAGGAAACCAAGGTCTAGGAAGTAAAGAAATGACCCAACACATATCTATTAGACAATAGTGATGAGTGCCCACACTAAAACTATTATTAATTAGTACTACTTAGAAGCAGGATCACAGCTGTCAGCATATTAAGCTAAAAAGGAAAAGCACAGGCAACCGAGATCCCCAGTTTTAATACTTTCTCTACCCTAACTCTATATGTGACTTTGGAAAAAACTTTACTGCTTGCACTTCTGTTTCACTATATTAGGAGAGGGGAGAGGAAGAAAGTTTGGTTTCCATTATCTCTAAATAATTTTCCAAATCCAGAAAAGGAAATAGTTCTAGCAGCAAAAATATTAAACTCTGTTCAAGAATTCTGATTCATCTTCAGACTATTTCCTAAAATCAGCCCAGTGATAACCATGTCTCCAATGTTTAGTGGAGGCAGAATTACATTTTCTATAAAGTCTGAAAAACAAATCAAAATGAAGGTTATTAGGTTCTGACTTTGAAAGTGATAATAAGACATTAATTATAATTGGTAAAAATAACAATATTACACAAATGGTTAACCTGTAACTCCAAAAGTGTTGGTACCAATATAGACAAACTCTGATAAATTACCAAAGAAAAGTAATTATTTAATAACACAATAAATAGAGAAAAAGACTGACAGTTTTGAAATGTCCATGGTATGTAGAAGAAGAAAAGAACCACCCAGTCTAAGGTATAGATGCTGTGTTATTGTTTCATGTGAGGTCATTTCATATACCTTATCTCTGGTACACATAACAATCCACCATGGTAGATGTCAATATAGATAGATAAATATGTGTGTGTGTGTGTGTGTGTGTGTGTGTGTGTATAGAGAGAGAGAGAGACATAAACACAGATACGGCTATAGATATAGACACAGACATATACATAGAGCTACAGATATATGAAGGCTTAGAGAGAGAAAATAAACTTGTCCCCAGGCTCACTGTGTCCAATCTGATGCCAGAAGTGGTCAAAATAGCATCATTAACAAATTTAGATTTCCTTCCAAATACACACAGATTCTTATATCCATATATCCATTCATCTGATTATTCATACATTCATTCATTGATTTGCTTATTCATCTACTCACTGACTCATTTTGCCAGAATCATAGTCTATCTTTAGCAAGATGGAAAAGGAAAATGTGTAGGAGAGACAACCTTTCATCTTAAAGCCACTAATCTTGCCAGCCCTGCCTTCTGGAAACTGAGGGTGAATGGAAGTTCTAACAGCTCAACTATTGGCACTTTTTGATATATGCACATATGCAGAAGATATGAAGGAATAATTAAGAGCTCTGAAGTGCTCCCCATGATTCACAAAGTTATCACAAGACCTGCAAACACAGTATGAGCAACAAGAGGAGAGATGATTACATGAAAACTTGAGCCTCTTAGCTGGATTTCCTTTCGAAGATGCCCTTTGTCCTCTGATTATTTTTTCCTCCTGGGATATAGCAAAAGAAAGATTGAAAAGAAGGAGGTATTTGGATACTATTTCTTCTTGCTTTCTGTTTCCGCCCCCCCTCATTTTCATTGGTAGCAGGTGCAGATTAAGTCCTACACTCTGACAAAACATTAAAGGCTAGGGGTCAATACCACTCAGGGAAGCTGGCCTTGGGGCCTGATGCTCCTGAGCCTGGTCTAAGATGGGGACATGTGGTTTTAGCTAGGGAATGTGTATGTGAAGTTTACCTCTAAGGATTTTCAAACAATATTCATTTTGAACAGTCTTTTAGGTGGATGATGGTGTGAATCCATTCATGGATGTACACGTGCTTTAACTGAAATTGAACCCATGAAGCTAAATGTTAAAGATGGTTAATTAAGTCAATGGGTGTGTGGATATTTATGGACACAGATTGGATATTTATGGACATGGTTAAGTCAATGGGTGTGTGGATATTTATGGACACTCTGTAGTTAGAAGATCTGGATTTTTGTGTCACCCCAACTCTTACTGGTTAAGCAGCCTTGGTCAAATCATTACTTCTCTAAAGTTCAGTTTCCTCATCAGTAGTATCTGGAAAGCAGAAATGATATCAACTCTATAGGATGGTTGTAAAAATTAAGTGAGGGGGTTTGTGTGAGAAGGTCCATTGTTAACTGAATGTCTAGGGCTTCAAGGTGCCATGAGACAGCCTGGCTTTAGAAACCTGCCTGTCTGATTGGAAACTGTGTTCTGCTACATGTCAGCAGTGAGGCTTTGGGCAAGTCCTTAACCTCTGAAATTTCCACTTTGGAAAATGGGATATTAATATCAATCATTTTATGCATGATAATATAGTGATTCAGCGTCATGTTTCACATGGACATATAACAGGCTGTCTGACAGCAAAAAAGTAAAGAATCTATACATTGAGACTTTTCTATAACATGAGGCTGAGGACCTGGACTTTGTTTCTTAGGGAATTGAAGGTGGGGAGCTCATCCAGCAAATGAAGTTAACAAGTGGGCTGGACTGCAATTTCTTGTAATATAGCTGCTGTTGTGTATAAATACTTGTTACCATCTTGTTCAATTATCTTTTCACTTTGGAATAATCTCATGTGTCTTTATACTTATATGTGTCCCTTTCATTTCCTGAAATTTTGTCAATGGAATGTGTTGGTTAGTCCTCATGATCCCAGAAACCTGGAAAAACACTGCTTCTGATACTACTTTTTGCTACTGGGGTTATTTTCTATTATTTCTTAATGTATATTGCCATTCACTCCCATGATGAGAAGGATAACCCCATCTTTCTAACTTGTTCAAAGGAATACATGTATTAAATTATCCAAGACAAATTCTCTGCTTAAGGGAAAACTGCATTTGGAGACTTTTGAAGGGGTGGCAGGAATTTATTCAGTTCACTAAAGATCTTAGTTAAAGTAACAGTAATTATATATTTGCTTTTTTATCTGATACATAGTTTGCAAATATTTTTTCCCATTTCATAGATTCCATTTTTATTTTGTTGATGGTTTCCTTTGCTGTGTAGAAATGTTTTTAGTTTGATACAGTCCCACTTGTTGATTTTTACTCTTGTTGTTCATACTTTTGGTGTCGTAGTCAAAAAATGGTTGCCAAGACCAATGTCAAGGAGTAACTTCCCTGTGTTTTTAGGATTTTTATGGTATCACGTCTTATGTTTAAGTTTTTAATTTATTTAGAATTAGTTTTTGTGAGTGGTACAAATAGGGACCCAATTTCTTTTTCTTTTTCTTTTTTCTTTTTTTTTTTTTTTTGTGCATGTGGCTGTTCAATTTCCCCAGCACCATTTGTTGAAGAGACAATCCTTTCCCCATTGAGTATTCCTAGCTCACTTATCAAATACTAATTGAACACATCTGTGGGATGTAATTCTGGGCTCTCCATTCTGTTCTATTGGTCCATGTGTCTATTTTTTTTTATTATTATGTTATGGTAATCACCATACATTACATTGTTAGTTTTTGATGTAGTGTTCCATGATTCATTGTTGGCGTATAACACCTAGTGATTCATGCAGTACATGCACTCTTTAATACCCATCACCAGGCTAACCCATCCCCCCACCCCCTCCCCTCTGGAACCCTCAGTTTCA